AATTAATCTCAATTACGTACTATATTACAAGATTTTCTATTGTTACCTATTTTCGTACTTGTTACACTCCCCTGTCTACTTCCTGCAGCAACTTGGTCAGATGCTATATAAATAATTTCAAGTAAATCTAGTAAATACACAGTCACATATACCATCATATATAGTAGGTTTTAAAGTGCTACTTACTGTATTAGACTTTTTTAAATGTATTAGGCTTTAGTGAAACTACCTAGAAAAAAATTACAAAGAGGAATTAACTCTAATTAACTCTCTTATTCTTTGTTGCTTAATAAAAATGACCATACCATGCTGCGGCTCATGCCTTATTAATTTATTATTTATATTTTGAATAATCTATTTACTTCTTTCTTATACTAATTTACAGTAAGCTACTTATTTATATTTCACTCTATTCATTAAAACCACCAACTTTTTAGCTATACAAATCATGTGATGAACCTTAAAGAAAATTGGTGCATGTATAACATGCTGCGATGAATAAGTTTTTTTTTTTTATTACTAACTAGATAACCGTCAGATAGTATACTTTTCTAAAGATAGAAAAAATTGCAACTAATATACTTCGCTAGCTTAGTAACAAGCATGTGATTCTTAAAAAATTAGACAAATAAAATAAAAAATTAATGATTCAACTCACTAAATATAAGGATATAGTCGAATGGATTCTTTTTGGTAATATTCAAAAAAAATTGATAAGATTTTTAAATGTATTATGCTTTAGTAAAACTACCAAGAAAAAAGATTATAAAGAGAATAACTCTTATTTTTTGTCACTTACTATAAATTAAAAAGTAAGAAGGGCAAAATGATGCTGTAGTTCATATTTATCAATTTATGAATAATCAATTTACTCCTTTTTTATAGTAATTTAAGCTACGTATTTATATTTTATTCTGTTCATTACTTAACCAAAACTTAAAGAGAATTGGCACATATATAATGCATCACGATGGATAAGTTTTTTTTCATACAAGCATTTAGTCAAATAGGATTGAAGTCTGCATTAGAACTAATGACAATAACTGATTTACATTTGCTCTACATACCAAAAAATTAAGATCTATTATACATTTTATATTTTTCAGCATATTCGCAAAGAGTTTGTCATTTCTCAACAATATCAACCCCACATTGTTTGAAGTCTTCAATCATTAATTTCATTAAATTTTTTACTGATACTCGTTGTGCTTTAAACTTTTCTAAAAAATCTTGATAATGATAGTCTGTCCCTTCATTTTCGTCTACTTCTTTCAAAAACTCTTCCATTGTAGGTAAAATGGAAGAAACGTATGAACTAGGTTAACTAGTCTGAGCTTGAAAAGATAAATTTTGATATGGATTATATTGGTTAAAGAATAATGGATGCTGTGGTTGAAGTATTTGAGATCCAAATATCCAATTGTGTGCTTGAGATGGTAAGATTAATAGAGCTTGTATTTGTGATGGCGGCAAAATTAATGGTGACTGTGTTTGTAAATGTGAAAGTGATGTTTGAGGTGGTAATGGTTGTAGAGGTTGGAACCGATTTTATTTATACAATTTGGTTTTAATTTCTTAACCTGAATTAAAACTAGTTTTAACCTGAATTTAAATAAACTCGAATAATTAGGTTTTGCGAATTTAATAAACTCATAAAACCGAATTAACCCGAATTTAAAAAAACTGGGTTTTGAAGTTGTAGTAAACTCGTTTGCAAATCATTGACAAAAAATGCTTGTCATTAGTATCTTACAATAACACCTTAACTGTCACACCAATTTAGATTCATAATTTTAATTATTTAAATGCGGGTTAGGGTCCTATAACCTAGTGGTCTAGGTGCCTAATTCTCCACAGACGAGGTCAACAGTTCGATTATAGCTAGTGGTAATTAATTTAATTAATTATCTTTGTAACCTACGGGAGCTTTCGAATGCGAAACCCT